ATTTAATCGTTGCAAAGAGATAAGCATAAATTTCACAATTTATATTTCAAGTGCAAACACGGCTATATCCAATTTATACAAAAATAAAGCATATTGATTTTTGAAAGATTATTGTACTGTTCACAATTACTGTATTTACTATCGTTCATAATTGTAATTTTTGATGTTATTCTATTTAGCATGATGCTTTTGTTTTTTGTACTCATCAATTTATTTAATTTAGTGAAAAATAAAGCTAACGTTAATTCGAAGTCTTCAACAGGCGTTTATTTGAACTCATAAAAATACATGAAAATTAATGAAATAACTTTGTTTGGACTCAAAAAATGTGTATTTATCCATTTAAATTTTTAATATGATTTCAAATTTAAATTTGATTTTGATAGTAATCATATTCATGTCTATCAATTATATAGTGCAAATGAATTTATTTTCTTTTTATATTGCTTCTGTTAGTAGGTTAGCAACATTATTTAATGCAAAGAAATGCTTTTATTATTCAATTTAATCTTTTATTGCTTAGTTCAATTTTTTTAGTGATCTGATTATTTATTTAGAAAGATAAAAATATTGCATTTTAAAACAGTCATCAAACATTGTTTCAATTATATAAATTGAATCATTTTAACTATGCATTATTTTGCTCATTTTCTAAAATTGTTTTAAATGTTGAAAAAATTCAATCTCAATTTTGCATCAAACTGTAAAATGTCAAAATTGCCATTTTATTACCAACAAATTATTAGTTAACGATTGATAGTAATTCATCAATATACATAATTTTTAATAATATCTAAAACTAATTAAATCATTCATCACGAATGAGTGAGATTTTATTGGCAAATAAGTTTGACAATATAGTCAACAGTATGTGCTTACGAATGAATGACACATTCTGTTGAACAAATCATTTATTTCAAAAAAAAAATTCTCGTCATTGTTGATTGACTTTAGTAATGAAATGTGCATAAGGGTGTCCTCTTTGAAATATTTGAAAGAACGCTTTACCTGTCTGTCTCAATTTTTTCTCTTTTCTGATCAATTCAATTATAATATGAAAAAATGAAATATCACTTTTCTCGCATCGTTCGTTCATAGTAATATTTGAAAAAAGTTTGAGAAACGTTGAAAAAAAGAAGGCATTATACTTGTTTAAACGAACGTTTCTGATCTTAAAAGCGGTAATGTCTGAAAGAAATAAGCATAAATTGAAGAAGCAAATAACAGTTGTTTAAAGGGGATTTTATGACTGCATTTAATCTTGAAAATGAATTATTTTCTGCCACACACACATACACACAGATACATATATACATACATGCATATACACATATAAATACATACATACATACACACATGCACATATACACATACATGCACAAACACATACACAAACATACACACACATACACACGCACACATA